CGGGCGGGGGCTTCCGAGCGGCGTCCGGGCAGCGCCGCCGCCTCCCGCACACCCACTCCCACGGCATCGCTCCTGCGCCAGCGTGGGCAGCGACAGAGCAGCCGCCCCACGCCTCGCGGCAGCGCAGACAGGGAGCGGGCAACCTGGGGGGGCTCTGGAGGCCCCTTCCAGCCCGGCTCCCCTCTGGCCTTGTGGCTCGGATCAGCGTTGTATTTATTGCGTTCCCCGCCTCACCCCCATCCCCCCGCTCACGTTAGTGCCGGGCTCGGGCTCTCTGCAGTTCCCTTATGGCCTGTGATTCCTAATGTTTTCTAATCAAGTCAACCTGTTCTTCTCAGCCGCAATGGCTCACAACAGGTGGGGGGACATACCAGATGTGATCAAGCGGGGCATTGGGGACGATGCGTAGGGCTGCATGTGCACCCCCTGAGATCGGCCATGCACCCCCTGGAAGTGCCAGCTGCAAAACCAAAAGTGCCACCAAGGAGTGCGTTGCTGGTTTCACCACCAGCTCGGCCAGGGGCTGCTGATGTCCAGTCAGTGTGTGTCCCCCCATCACAATCAGCTGCTGGGGAACCCCCCATCAGTCAGCATCTCCCCCCTGGGCCGGTTATCAGCCGGTGGGGGACCCTCCCCCCCTTGGCAATCTGGTGTCCCCCCAGACTCAGGAGGCACCAGCCGCCCATGAAGTAGGGGCATCCGAATCCCAAGACCTTCAAGCTTGGGCCTGCAGGTAGGATGCCTGCCAGTGGATTTGGGAGTATCTGAAGTCCCAGGGTGAGAGTCTGGCACGAAGGATGCTGGCGGGTTGTAGCGCTATCCGCAGCGTTTAGAACGATTGAGTTCTGCCGGGTCGGTCAGTACAGTTTTTGGAATGATTGAGTTCTGCTCAGTCAATATGATTTGAAACTGATTTGGCTGAATTGACCTGAACACAAAATATATTCATTTAAAAAAAACTAAAAACTTCTCTATGACTGTAGGGCTCTAGGACTCTATAACAAGATTTTTTTTAAAGGATTTTGGTGTGTGTGCACGCGCACACGTGTCCCAGGTCAAATTAGCGAGATTAGTTCCGAATCCTTTGAATCACTCAAAAACCTTATGTGGCCCTAGTACCAGCAAGTATCCTCCACCCCAGATTTTTCAGCTTGGGGCTTCAGATACTTCCAGATCCTTTGGCAGGCATCCTATGTGCAGGCCCAAGCCTGGAGGCTTGTAGGTTCAGAAGCTCCCGTGTTTCATTTGCCCTCAGCTGTATGGCTGCCGGAGCAAGCTAGGAGGAATCTCCCATTTCCATAAAGTCAGCATGTAGCTGAGATCCTCCCACTGGAAGCTGGCCAGTGGGAAGCTAACTATGAGGCTCTCAGGGGGTCCTGTCTCCAGGCAGACAGGGGTGCACTCTCCTCTACACAAAGCCATTTTTAAGCCACCTTCTTGGTCAGGGTACTTCCCCCTGCCACCTTCATGGTCGCAGTATTTCCCCTGCCAGGTAAATATAGGACTCTATAACAAGAGTAAGTACAGGAGTATAGGACTCTAAACCAAGACAGGAATGAAATGGGAAGAAAGCAGTTGTGGCTGGGGGGGGGGGGGGGGTTTTTTT